GCGAGTTACAAAAGCGGAGCGACCGAGACGGGGGCGGGAGGGTGTAGAGGGAGAGTGCTAGTTAACCGTGCATTAATCTGGAAAACAAATCTAACCTGCCGTGCACGGCTGTTTGCTTAGGAGAGATTTGGCAAGGAGACCCTTTCGCGCGCACATGTGTGTGTAGGAGTGTATCGCTCCGACCGTGCGGAAGGTCGAACACTACGCGGTTGCCCTCGTCGGTCTTTCACGCCGGGACACCCGCAGATCATTAGGATCCTGGAGATGCCAGCGGCATCGATCCTAGTCGCTCTGTGGCTCGGATCTCTCGTTCTCTTCCCTCGCTCGCGCGATCATTGATATTCGTACACTGAGAGAAGAAATATCTATGAGATAAAAAGTATCTTTTCACACAGCGAGTATAGCATGTTTACTTATATTGTAATATAAAATGCTTTTCAAACAAGAAAATACACGTTTTCATAGAATCTGAGCTTATCATGAAAGCAAGTTGATTATTTTATTTAAATAAAAGAATTTCGATTTAAATGCATATGTTATTAATGTGTGTGCATGTGTGTGAGAATAGATATTTTTTCCCTCTTATTGCATGCAATCAAACGGAGTACCAAGGCGACGTGTCTCCTCGTCGCCTTGACAAAAATGTTTCCCTCACACTTGTCTCTCTCTCTCTCTCCTCCTCTCTCTCTCTCTTTCTCTCTTTCTCCTCTCTCATCCTCTTCTCGTCGCAAAAAGTCGTTAACACTTTGTTGAGCGGTAATGGATTGATACGAAGATTTGCGCGGCGCTCATCAGCGACGCGCTAATGATTCACGGAGAAGTCGACGCCGGCATGGCGATGAGTTTTTCTAACGAAAACCTATCAATCCGAATCCGCATTCGGCGGCTCTGCCTGTTTCCTTCCTACGTTTTTTTTTTCCAGACATTTAATCTCGGAGAGCCAAATTCCGCAAAAAAATCGCTCAAACGCGCTCGCGATCTCGCGACTGATCGCGCCCCCGGGCGGGCTTCTCGATTGGATCCCTCGCGAAACGTTAATCGCGTTAGTTAACAGCACGACGCCGGTTTATCAACGCTCCGCATGCACAGGTACGCGGTCACAGTGTACGCGTGTGCGCGAGCACATTCATACCGCGGGCTATTAGTCACCCTTTTGCCCGAGCAATTACGGCACTTGGTCATAATCCCGTAACGCGCCGGACTAGGACTGGGTCGGCCATTAATTAGACGTTTTCTTTCTCTCCGCCTCTTTCGACGAGAGAGGCGAACGCATAGCACGCACGCACGCACGCACGCACGACGACGACGACGACGACGACTTCGCCGCGGAACGAGCATTAGAAGCGCGCGCGCCGGTACTGCCGCGACCACTATTACTCACCACCACCACCATCATCGCCACAACTACGACGACCGCACTGCGTGTGTCCGCTAATCGAATCCCTGCTAATTACCGGACGCGCTTGTAAAGGCACCGCTTGAAATCCTCGCTGAGACACCGGGAAACCTCTTCTCTCTCTCTCTCTCTCTCTCTACTCTCTTGCAGGACGAGAAACAAAACGCCGCGGAAGCGCGTTTAGCCGCGCATTAGTCGCTCCGACGATAGAACAGTGTGATTCGTGATAATTCTTCACGGCGAGCTGGCTGCGGCGGACCAAATTTACGACGACCGCTCGGACTCGCTTTATTGTAGCATATTCCGAGACTGAGCGTACCGTTACACCTAGCGGGTGGACAGGAGGAAGGAAGAGAGAAAGAAAGGTGAGACGTTCGTTAGGTACAAGCTTGGAAAAGTCGCTCTCTCTCTCTCTCTCTCTCTCTCTCTCTCTCTCTCTCATTCTCCTTTTCTCTCTTACTTTATCGTAGCTGTCTTTTCAGCCGGGCAACCGACCGACTACGCGAACGACGTCTGCTGACGTCTGATAAAACGCGATGGCCTTGTGGAAGGCGACGAGGTGCCTTATTTCACAAAGCGACCTCGCAGCTTTTCACTTTGGTGCTTGGCAGTCTGCTTTTTACGACTTCGTTCCGCGTTCACTCGCAAATGCAGAGTGACGAGAGCAAATTGAAAGAGCGCGCGCATTCGCGAGTTGGACGATCGCGAGACTCGTATCCGAGGGAAAAGCCCGCATTCGCGTGCCAGACGGAATTGTCCGTCTGTCCAATTTCGCAAACCGTGTGTATGTTGAAATAAATAACGCGCGAGCAGTTCGACTGTTCGTTGATGGAAAATCGATCGCCTCGAGAAACGATCGGTTGAATGAAAAACAATTGGACATGGCGCGTAGCCAATGGTATCGTGCGTTGTTGAAACCGCAAGATATCGGTTGTCAGGCGGGAACTTCCTCGCGGAGTGTCGTGATTAAATTAATTAACGACATAAGAATTTAGTGTGTATATATAAACGCGCACGAAATGTTTGCGAGTCGAAGAACTACGGAGTTTCAAAGAATACTGTGATAAAAAAATATATTTTATATATTAGTAATAACTATAATCACATAGAGAAAAATAATTTTTATAAATTATATATGGTCAAAAAAACATTTTCCAAATTACTTTCTACTATAAGGTTAGTGACAATAACATTATATAAATTATCACTACCATCTTCGTGTTAAAATAATCAAAAAATATGATCAGAGTCAGAAATAACTATTTTAAATAAAAAAAAAATTTTAGTTATGTGTCAAAACCATTCTTGCGATAAAGCGACCTGTTTGTCAAAACAGACACTCGAAATCAATTTTTATCACGCATTTTATATACGAGCAGTGAAACGGCGAAGGAAGCCTTAGAGAAACAGCTAATCGCGTAAAAATAAAGCGCGTTGTAACGTTAATTCGTTGCACGTTACACATAACATCCTCCACGAAGCGAATCGTGAAGTATCGGCCGATGGCATGTCGCTAGCGAACGATTGATGTATCCTTGAAAACGCATCTAAAAAGAAATATTTCTTTTTCACACGGAGAAAGCATCTCCGTGATTATACATCTAAGCCGCAGATATCCCGATATATCGAAATTAACCGATTATAGTAAATAACCTAAATATGAATACCGTGGTCGGTAGCTACGCGATGCATGAAGAGCGCTACACAGAGAGAACGATTTATTGAATCAAATAAGTGTTTCTTTGGAATAATCCAAACAAATTGTTTGGTTGATATAACAAAAATATTTCTTTGGAACTAAGCCGCAAATAAATATTTTTGTTGCTTCAAAATTTTGTTCGATTAATCGAAAAATTCGTTTGGACTATTCCAAAGAAGTGTTTATTTGATTCAACCAAATCGTCCTCTCTATATTCCGACGAAAAAGAAATTTTATTAAACAACAAAATGTTATAACAGAAAGTATAATTTGTTAATAATGTGTAACAATGTGTGTACCACGTAAAGATTTCAAGCGTTTAATGTCGCGGCGTCGACGTTAGATTCGGATGAAAAATTCGCGCACGTGCTACGCCGGCGCACTACTTCGAGAGTATGGCCCGATCTACAATAGATGAAGTAAGGAGTAGGAGTAGGAGTAAGAAATAAGCAGTAAGTAAATGGACCAATCACAATCGATTATTTTTGAAACGTGAGAATGGAATTGGTCAATTTGCTTACTGCTTATTTCTTACTCCTACTCCTGCTTCTTATTCCATCTATTGAGCGTCGTCTACAATATGTGGAATAAGCTTGGAGTAAGAAGTAAGCCGTAAGAATTAATCAATCATAGACGATTATTTTTATAATAATCGACTACAATTGGCCAATTCTTACGGCTTACTTCTTACTCCAAGCTTACTCCGCATATTGTAGACGACGCTTTGGCTGCGTTCGTTTTGGCGCTTACAACGCTCTGAGCATCATTTTATCCTTGTTTCTATCAAATACTAAACAAGGACAAATGATGCTTACACGCGCTATAAACGCCAAAACGAACGCAGCCTTTGTAGATCGGGCCTAAGGTGAATGACCGCGCAGCGAGCAATGGGCGTTGCCTACGCTTACCTGAGTTGCGGGAGGGGGAAGGGGGGAGAAGGGGACAGCGCGAGCCGTACCAGTGTGTGCCGAGTCGCGTACCGCGTCAGGTGACTGCGGAAGCTATAGTCCCGCGCCGCATTCCATTCACGCGTCGCGTCGTCTCATCCGCTGCGATAACACCGAGTGATTTAAAGCGCGGATCGATACAATTGTTAATAACTCCACTTGCAGACGTCGTAACGACTTGAACCAAACGTCATTGCAAAGGGAAAATTACCGCGTTCCCGATGAACGTGAAATCGTACTCTCGAGCGTTCCTCGAGAATTTTCTTGTGTACGATAGATCAGGTGCCCGAAACGTGCACTCGACGTACGACACACACACGCAGGCAGATATACACACACATATTCAGTCGTAAAAATCCTAGACACGGGCGTGAACGAATTGAATGACGTCGCGTGCTCGAGTTTCCGCCGTTTTAATTTAATTTAACACGTGCACAACTAATTACGGCATTTCGCAAGTGTGATTATCGTTCCGCGATCATCGTGAGCGTCGGGAACATCTCAATATTTTAACGGTGACTATCACTTTCTATTTTTGTTACATTTAAATGAGAAATTACAACCGCGACTTGTGTATTCTTGATACTTCCGTTTTGTAACTTTATATTTTTGTGCATTATTCATAGTTTAAATCACTTCATTAGAAATTTTGATTTGCGCATAAATTTAAACTGATTCTTTTTTTTATAATTAATTATGTTAGAGTCTTCTTTGAAATTCTTTAGTTCAGTTTCTTATTATATAAATTTAAACTTAATAAGTTTATTATATAAACTTATATTATTATATAATAAGTTTATTATATAAACTTATTATATAAATTTAAACTGATTCTTTTTTTTTATAATTAATTATCTAAGAGTCCTCTTTTTAGTTCAGTTTCTTATTTTTAATTAGTCGACATCGTCTGACTTCTCTATAGCTGCTCCTAATCAGGAAAATTTATTTTTTGTTTTAGATCTCACAGATTTGGCGAAGTTGTGGCGATCACACTATGAAGGCTTTCCGATGGATGCTATACCGAAGGATTCGGTTCGGGTCAAGCAGGGTAGGCTTGAAGGTAAATTCATTGTCTATAGCTTATTAATTTCTCTTTTATTTCTTTACAATCGAAGACTTAGATATACTTGTGAAATTAATTAAAAATTCGATCATAAATGACATACCTAATTTTATATGCTCGTTCATGTTAAACAGAACTTGTAAATCTAATCAGCATTTTTTGTTCCAGAACTGAATAGCGGAATATGGCCTGCCCTGACTTCGATGCAGTTTGGTGAGTGCAAAATATGAGAAGAATTTCTCTTTTTTTTTTCAAATTTTAGCGATGGGATCATTTTCGAACTTTTACTGAAATCAATGCGATTAGTAGATTTTGCATGTTGGGTTTTTATATTTATAAATACGAGCCGTCGAACGAAATGAAACTGTGCGAATCGAGAATTTAAAGTTTTTATTTGAAAGACTTTTATTACATAAAAGTTGACAAGAATATCTGATGTTACGAGTAATTTCTTATAATTTGATGAATAATATCGGAGATTTAATATATTTTACATTCTTATTTCATACAAAAGATTTTTTCATACGGTAGTCAATTGTGTGTGTAAACAGAGGACCATTGTTGTCATTATACACAGTCTGTTTATATCGACGTGTACCACTAGTTCGTTCAACGACTCGATTTTTTGTTATGATTGGCCCAATGCCAAATCAGATATCGGCCGAGCTCCGGCCTTGAGCTTCGCAAAATGTATGGCGAAGTAATTGCGCGTTATAAACGCGCCACATGCGAAATACGCGCTAATTTCGCCTCGTTAATCAATTTCGCGAACGCTACGACCTTTAATTAATCTGTCGAGATATGAATTTTGAGATATAAATTTCGCAATACTCTCACACGCGGGATTATTTATTCCCTCTCGGGCGCGCTGATGCATTTGACAGCTGTCGCGATTTTTAGCAACTGATTCTTTACCATCACGATTGCCTTGATAACCAAACGAACTTCATCGAGAAAAATTTTACGACGGTCTTCGCAATCATTTTGCTCACGCATACGCGACTAGACTCAAAAGTGTGTTATTTTATATATGTTAATCTATACTAAATTATTTAAATTTGTCGCGCGTGCTCTATCTGCAGTTAACAAAAAAAAATTAATTATAGATAGAATATCGAGAGATAAAGTAAAACATTAAATAATCTTGAAGCATCAAAAGAGAACAATAGTCTATATAATTTCGTATCTTGATATTTTGCTTCATTACGTTCAACAGGATTTAGTGTTAGAACTCAACTTTCGACTCGGAAAATCTCACAGTATTCACATGTTCCGTTTCGTCCGTCGTTAAACATATATTCGCGGACCTTGTCGTAAATCAAAATTCTTTGTCGATACCGCTTCGTTAAATATTCGTCGAACGTTATCGATTGACACGAGTGTCAGTCGCGCCGCGAGTGAAGTAAAACGATATAAAGGGCAAGCAACGCGGCATGCGACGCTGGAGGCAACGGTGAGCTGTCTCGACCTGGCTGGACCTGACAGGACGTGGGTGGATCTGGATGGATGTCGCCAAATTTCAACGCAGATTGGTGAGTGTTAAATTTCAACACTCACAGAGTATCATATTACGTAGTGCATGGCTATTTTTCAATCGCATTGATTTCTTACGAATAGAGTGACGGCGCATGGAGAGAATATTGTACTTCTTCTCTTTCATAAGTTATTTTCAATTTTATTTATTTTCACATATTGAATTATTTTTAATTTTATTACATTTATAGAAATAGATTGTCAATAAGTCTATTTCGCTAAAAGAAACAGTCAATTTCGCTAAAAGCATTGTAAATATTTTAATAGTACATTTCAGTTTCTGAAATAGAACATACGAAATGAATATATATATAATTAATATGATATAATCAGTTACTATATATTATAGAATGTCGATCTATTCCTTGCTTAAAAATTTCATAATAATTTTTACAATGAAATTCTCTCCGTGCAGTCACATATATCACAATTTTTACGCTGCATAAACATTCTAATGATTTAATATGTAAAATGTGAACATACTACTGTGTCCAAAAAGTAAGGTGACATTGCATTTATTTCGAAAATTCTTTATTTATTCTTGCAAATCAATTTCGTCCCCTTCAAAGTAATCCCCCCCTGATATAATACACTTATTCCAACGGATTTTCCAATCTTCGAAACAGTTGTAATAATCGATTTCAGGAATGGCCTTTAGCTCCTTCTTCGCAGCGGCTAACTGTGTGACGATAATGCACCGTCACACACTGCGCTGATTATTCGTGATTTTTTAGCCAAAAACTCGACTAATATCGTTCCACAACCACCGTATTCACCTGATTTGGCTCCATGCGACTTCTGGCTCCGGGGACACCGTTTCGAGTCGATAGAAGAGATTTAAGCCGCTGCGAAGAAGGAGCTAAAGGCCATTCCTGAAATCGATTATTACAACTGTTTCGAAGATTGGAAAATCCGTTGGAATAAGTGTATTATATCAGGGGGGGATTACTTTGAAGGGGACGAAATTGATTTGCAAGAATAAATAAAGAATTTTCGAAATAAATGCAATGTCACCTTACTTTTTGGACACAGTAGTATATGTATATATCGAATATCGAACATATTTATATATATTTTAATGATGTGTACTCTGATATAAAGTTAGGATTGCAAGGTTCAATGCAAAACTATTGACACTGCATAATTGGTAATGATATGACATAAACTTCTCTTTGACGGATTCATAATCCGTCTTGATCTGTCGATCATTATTAAAGCGTCACCCAAAGATTTGGGGGGGATATCCTGTGTAAAAAAATAGAAAAAATTAATATACTATATACACCCGATTTACGCGATTTCTCAATGGTTTGAGCAGCGTTTATTTGCGGAAGTTTTCGTTTATCTCGACTTCTCGACAATCTACGAACAAGTTCGCGAGATAAGGATCGCCGATCCTTATCTATGACACGTTATTATCATACATTTTCTCTAGTGATTTAGAATAGTAGTTTCACTACCGCTTCCAATAAGTTTTCGCCTGTTTTGATTGAGTTTCACTGCAAGAAATTTAGAGAGCAGGAAACGCACGTCTCAGAATCGGAAGCACGATCTCGGACGCGAACGCGTCGTCGTTATCGTATATTTATCGCATGTTCCGGCTCGGTGTCGGTAGGGAGGGGCAAAATCGCGCAAAATCGCGAAAGACACGCTCATATTCGCCGCGCTGCGACCCGTAATAGCCATTACGGAATGGAAGGGCGCAAGAAGTGGAAATAAGGAAACAGGCAAATTGAGCAATTGCACGGGTACTCCCCCGGGCGCGCGCGTGATTGGCCAATATTCATATTTTTATTCGCTGCTTTTTCACTGCTCGTTTCCTCCAGTCCCGTAATAGAGCGTAACAGCTTAATGCACTATAAACGAAAGCAGCGGCGGCGGACGTCGATGGTCGATCACGCGGCGCTGACCGGCTTAAGTCCACACATGCACACAATCGTGACACGCGGCCAAGTCACGGCGAGTCGCGGCCGATAAGCCGATTTTAACGGGGCACACGTGTACGGGAGTGCGTACGACCGGATACGCAACTCCACCACCGCGGAGCTCATGATTTACGAACGTTTGCGTTGCGTAAACGCGGCTGCGACAGTTTCTAAGGATGACATAAACGTCACAGACGGACGGAAAATCGCGGGCCATGGTACGATAGTTCGCTGTTACTCGACCTTATCATTCGTAATGGATCGATTACACGACGGACGGTTAAATCAGTTTAGGGGACTGCTATACACTTGAAAACTTTGCCGACTGTTCTTTTGCAAAGCTTATACATATACAGAGTTACAATTGAATTTTGAAACTTAAAAACACACGAAAAGTTTTCAAAAAATTTCTATACACGCGCTGTTTTCCGCTAATATGGTAAATATGGTAAAACAAAGTAGCACACGCTTACATAAAATTTATGTGTATAAGAAATACGGAAAAGATCACGAGATCCAAGTGATATTTTGGCTGAGTCTCTTTTTACACGTTTCTTATCGTTTTAACTTATTTCAACATATTAAATCATAATTTACACGTCTATTAAACGTATACATATTAAATGACATAACTTGAAAGAAATAAATGTGAAAGGGCTTTACGGTCAAATTACACGCTTATGCGTTTGAAAATAACTTGAATTTGCAATGATAGCGTGATGGTACTTGTGACGATCGCCTCGATCGACTTTTCGAGTTTGTCATCCACTTTGGCATTCTCTTAAATCGAGAGCGCAAATTCCCCAACGTGAGATTATTCCTCAACGAGATCGGTCGCGCGGAGAAGCTGGGAGAACGCGAGGAGAGACGGCTCTCCTGAAATCTCGAGTCTGTAAGTCGATGAACGCGCCTCGCTCCGGCCCGTTTAATTGATCGGTGAAATCCGCGTCTAAGAGAGTGGATTCGCGCGAGTAGTAGTAGTAGTAGTAGTCGTCGTCGTCGTCGTCGTCGCGGCATCGTGTACACGGACGGATAATGCGATGCAGACGGAAGGTAGACACTTATCGGGAATTACGAACTCGTAGAGACGACGGGACAGCTCGAGCTCGCGCGGGTAATTAAATGGATACGCCGCCGATCGAGGGGGCTCCATTAACGAGAGAGCGTTAATTAACCGCGCCAGTGTCGAAGTTTCTTGCTTGTCAGCGGAGCGACGCGCGGAATTACGCGCGGTCCGCCGTGATATTTGTGATATGGCCGGCGACTAAAGCGTCCGCGCGAATAGGAATAAGTCGACTTCGCGGGAAACTTTGCGAAACGAACGACGACGGAGTCGTTTCGGAAACTCCCGCGAGAGTTCCGCGGCCGGGGATTTTCACAATTCTCCTTTCTCCCGCGCTTCACTTGGAAGCCTCTGGAGAGCTCGCCGGCTGCGTCGCGGGGATTTCAGCCGCGAAGGAGAACAATCCGAAAAACTCGGATAATCTGCAGGAAATTCTTATTTTGGACAATAACTCGAGTCAAAATTTTAACCTCCCTCTCGACCTGAACTTTTTAACATCCGTATATTCTGGAGGATCAGTGGTATGTTTAATGCACATGGGAACTGAGGTTCTACTTGAGACCTTTGAACGGCAGAGAGTACACAAAATGCCACTTGTTGGTTCGGAAGAGGACCTCCCCGGCAAAGTTAGTAGGAAGAACATCAACAGAGCTGGATAGGTTTTTTAGAGTATCAAAATAAATATTAGATCG